AAATTGGAAGTGGTCAAACAGGAGATGGCAAGAGTGAGCATGGATATTTTAGGAATCAGTGAACTAAACATGGTAAATTGGAAGTGGTCAAACAGGAGATGGCAAGAGTGAACACTGACATTTTAGGAATCAGTGAACTAAAGTGGACTGGAAAGGGTGAATTTAATTCAGATAACCATTATATCTACTACTGTGGGCAAGAATCCCTAGAAGAAATGAAGTAGCCCTCATAGTCAACAAAAGAGTGTGAAATTCAGTACTTGAGTGCAATCTCAAAAATGACAGAATGATCTATGTTTGTTTCCATGACAAATCATTCAATAACACAGTAATCTAAGTCTATGCCTCAAGCACTGATGCCAAAGAACCTGAAGTTGAAAGGTTATGTGGAGACCTTCAAAACATTCTAGAACTAACACCAAAAAGATGTCCTTTTCATCATAGGGGACTGGAATGCAAAAGTAGAAAGTCAAGAGATACCTGGAGTAACAGGCAAATTTGGCCTTGGAGTACAAAATGAAGCAGGGCAAAGGCTAACAGAGTTTTGCCAGGAGAATGCAATGGTCATAGCAAATAGTCTCTTCCAACAACACAAGAGAAGACTCTACACATGGACATCACCAGATGATCAATACCAAAATCAGATTGATTGTATTCCTTGCAACCGAAGATGGAGAAGCTATTTACAGTCAGCAAATACAAGACTGGGAGCTGACTGTGGCTCAGATCATGAATTCCTTATTGCAAAATTCAGATTTACATTGAAGAAAGTAGGGAGAAAGACTAGACCATTCAGTTATGACCTAAATTAAATCCCTTATGATTATACAGTGGAAGTGACAAATATATTCAAGGAATTAGATATGATAGAGTGTCTCAAGAACTATGGATGGAGGTTTGCGACATTTTACAGGAGGCAGTGATCAAGACCATCCCCAAGAAAAAGAAATGCAAAGGGGCAAAATGGTTTTCTGAGGAGGCTTTACAAATAGCTGAAAAAAGAAGAGAAGCTAAAGGTGAAGGAGAAAAAGAAAGATATATCCATGCAGAATTCCAAAGAATAGCAAAGAAATATATGAAAGCCTTCCTCAGTGATCAATGCAAATAAATAGAAGAAAACAATAGAATGGGAAAGACCTGAGATCTCTTCAAGAAAATCAGAGTTACCAAGGGAAAATTTCATGGAAAGATAGGCACAGTAAAGGGAAGAAATGGTATGGACCTAATAGAAGTAGAAGATATTAGGAAGAGGTGGCAAGAAACACAGAACTATAGGAAAAATCTCTTAATGACCTAGATAACCATAATGCTGTGATCACTCACCTAGAGCCAGACATCCTGTAATATGAAGTCAAGTGGGCCTTAGGAGGCATCACTACAAACAAAGTTAGAGGAGGTGATGGAATTCCAGCTGAGCTATTTCAGATCCTAAAAGATGATGCTGTGAAAGTGCTGCACTCAATATGCCAGCAAATTTGGAAAACTCAGCAGTGGCCACAGGACTAGAACAGGTCACTTTTTATTCCAATCCCAAAGAAGGGCAATGCTAAAGATGTTCAAACTACCGCACAATTGCACTCATTTCACAGGCTACTAAAGTAATGCTCAAAATTCTCCAAGCCAGGATTCAGCAATACATGAACCAAGAACTTCCAGATGTTCAAGATGGATTTAGAAAAGGCAGAGGTACCAGATATCAAATTGCCAACATCCACTGGATCATTGAAAAAGAGAGTTCCAGAAAAAAAACATCTATTTCTGCTTTATTGGTTACTCTAAAGCCTTTAACTGTGTGGATCACAACGAACTGTGGAAAACTCTGAAAGAAATGGGCATACCACACCACCTGAGCTGCATCCTGAGAAATCTGTATGCAGGTCAAAAGGCAACAGTTAGAACCAGACATGAAACAACAGACTGGTTACAAACTGGGAAAGGAGTATGTCAAGGCTGTATATTGTTGGCCTGTTTATTTAACTTATATGCAGAATACATGATGCAAAATGCTAGGCTGGATGAAGCACAGGCTGGAATCAAGATTGCCAGGAGAATTATCAATAACTTCAGATATGCAGATGACATCACTCTATGGCAGAAAGTAAAGAACTAAAGAGCCTCTTGATGAAAGTGAAAGAGGAGAGTGACAAAGTTGGCTTACACTCAACATTCAGAAAATTAAGATCTTGGCATCCAATCCCATCATTCATGGCAAATAGATGGGGAAACAATGGAAGCAATGATAGATTTTATTTTTGGGTGCTCCAAAATCACTGCTGATGGTGAAATTAAAAGCCATGAAATTAAAAAATGCTTGCTTCTTGGAAGAAAATCTATGACCAACATAGACAGCATATTAAAAGGTAGAGACATTGCTTTGCCTACAAAAGTCCATCTAGTGATAGTTATGATTTTTCCAGTAGTCATGTATGAATGTGATAGTTGGACTATAAAAAAAACTGAGCACTGAAGTATTGATGATTTGAACTGTGGTGTTGGAGGAGACTCTTTAGAGTCCCTTGGACTGCAAGGGAATCAAACCAGTCAATCCTAAAGGAAATCAGTCCTAATATTCATTGGAAGGACTGATGCTGAAACTGAAACTCCAAATTTGGCCACTTGATGTGATGAACCTTAGAAAAGACCCTTATGCTGGAAAGATTGAAGGCAGGAAGAGAGGGAGGCGACAGAAGATGAGATGGTTGGATGGTATCACCAACTAGATGGACACGAGTTTGGGCAAGCTCCGGGAGTTGATGATGGACAGGGAAGCCTGGCACGCGGAAGTCCATAGGGTTGCAAATAAACAGACATGACTGAGCAACTGAACTGAACTAGGTGGTCTTCTAGGTCTTCATAGAAGTGATCAATTTCAGCTTCTTCAGCATTGATGGAAGAAGGGGCATAGACTGGAATTACTGTGACATTAATTGGCTTGGTAACAAACTGAGAACATGCTGTCACTTTTGAGGTTGCACCCAATTACTGCATTTCAGACTCTTTTGTTGATTATGAGGGCTACTCCATTATTTTCTATGGAATTCTTGCTTATACTAGTAGATAAATTGGTTTTCTGAATTAATTATGCCCATTCCCATTTATTTTCATTCACTGATTCCTAAGATGTCAAAGTTTATTCTTATCATCTCCTGCTTGACCATGTCCAATTTACCTTGCTTCAGGGACCTAACATTCCAGGTTCCTATGCAGTACTGTTCTTTGCAGCATCAGAATTTACTTTCATCAATAGACACATCCACAACTGAGTGTTGTTTCTGCTTTGGCCCTACCACTTCATTCTTTCTGGGGCTATTAGTAGTTCTCCTCTGCTCTTTCCCAGCAGTATATTGAACACCTTCCAGCCTGGGGGACTCATCTTTCAGTGTCATATGCTGTTGTCCTTTTATAGAGTTCATAAGGTTCCATGGCAAATATACTGGGGTGGTATGCCATTTCCTTCTCCAGTGGATCACGTTTTGTCAGAACTCTCCACTATGACCTGTCCATCTTGGGTGGCCCTACATGGCATGGCTCATAGATTCGTTGAGTTACAAAAGCCCCTTTGCCACAAAAAGGCAGTGATCCAAGAAGAGCAGTCATACTATATGCTATTTAAAATTTAATAATTATTACTTTGTAACTGTGTAATGAAAATGATTTGATATTAATGAAAAGAGTTTGGCTTCAGTAACTCACTGAGCTTTGTGATCTTAGGCAAGTCATTTCATCTCCCTGAGACATAGATTCTTTTTTAGTAAAAAGGGAAAGATGATATCTGCATTAAGAAATGCCCAGATTTGGGTACTTCAAGAACCATGGTGATTTTGTTGCTAATGTATTTGAACACCTCAGACTAAAAAAAAATTTCTAGAAGCACAGAATTTTATTTTCCTCTGTTCCTGACTGCTCTTTAAATGTGCTGTCAACTGTAGTAAAGACAGGAGGAAATAAAATTGACTGTAGTAGAGTCATCTTCTAGAATTTCACCCTCAGGAAACTGCCTCAGTGCTAGAGTGGAGTCATCGTCCCAATTCCAATTAGGTCTCCTTGTTCCTCAGAGGTAAGCAAAAGCCCTCTTGCTTCACTGATTGATCTCACCCACACCCAGCCCCTTTCCCACCCCTCCTTGTCTATTTGATTCTCTGGACAATGTAGTTAAGTGTTAATTATAATAATTACTCATCATTATTATTTCAAAGGACTTTGATTCTGCAGGGAGAAGAATACATATCTAGGGCCTCTAATGATTCATAACAGCCCCAGGATATAAGCAACACGATATCACGTTACAAGTGCAGAAGAGGGTAAGTTCCAGCCCCAGGTCACATTGTTAGGAAAAGGCAGAACTGAGGCTTAAACTGAGTTCCTCTGTTCCAAAACCCACTAATGTTGAGTTCCAGGTTGTAGTGGGTGTATACGGGTGGTAGGTAATCTTCCAAGTTCCCTGAGATCCACTCTAGTCCCTGAGGTCCACTCTGGCAGGTAGCTCTCCTGTTGGTGAAACCAGGTGAGGGGCAGTGGGTGGTCATGCTCTAGAGATGTGTTTATGTCTCTACTTCCCTTCTGCCCACTCCCTTTACTCTATTGCTACCAGAATATCAGCGTTTGTGCTGCAGATGGCGCTGCTCTTCCCCAGCTCAACATCTCTTTGAGCCACTGCCAGAAAAGAGCTTGTGTGTTTCAGTAGAGATGCTGCAACAATGGTTGCAGGAAGCTTACCTGTGTCATACCTGTCTTCTGAAGTAGGTGGAGATAATGTGAGAGGGGGAGCATTGACAAGTAGATATGAAGTCTCCTTACGAGCATGTAAAGGAGGACCTGGGCTAACACACTGCTGATCACCTGAGAGTCCTTTAGTCTGATCTCATCCACTCACAGACCATCCATCATGTGCCATGCATGTCTCTGGGTGCCAGAATGCCCCTTCAGTGACCATACTGGACAGAATTCTACACATAGAATCACATTCTGTGTTGTCACAAGACCACAGACAGAGTCAAGTTTGAGAATTGTACTTCCTGGGCATTTCACTCAAGCAAACAGAAGTAGGACAGAGGATCCTGGCAGGCTACAGTCCATGGGGTCTCAAAGAGTCAGACCAAACGAGTTACTGAGCAGACATACACGGACAGACAGAAGCAGGACAATGGAAGGTGGGAAGATTACATGTACATGACTGACCTCAAATCCTCCATTTCCTCACTCCCCTCCTTCTGGCCTGTTCTTACACATCTGCTGGGTTGTAAACAGATCTGTCAACACCTGTCTTTCCATAGACGCCCTTCTGCAAGGTCACAAATGTGAGCAGATTCTGCCTTTCTGCAGTCCTGCTCCTGGGTACCCTGGTGGCCAGCATTCTGGGTTGTAAAACCAGCAACTGGGTCCAGAGTAAGTCCCAGCTCGCCTCTCCTCTACAGACTGGAGAGAAAGGAGGTGAGTGCATGGAAGGAGTAGGAAGAAGGGTGTGGTGGATGCTGCCAGCCCTCTCTGGATTTCTCCTCGGAAGTGAGTAATTGAACTCCAGAGACATTACTTTGCTCTCGAAAAGTATCACTATGTGTCTGCTTTTAATAAATATATCCCATTTCATCTTACAAAATCATGAACTTCTTCTCTGAAACTGTCTATTCCTGGTATCTTTCTTGTCCATAACCACACACCCCCCCCCTTAGAATAATAAAAAGATCCAAATTTGATCTTCATCCTAGTTCGTGCCCCTTGACTCCAGATATTCTTGGAATTTATTGTCTTTCTATAAGTAATGAAAATATGTTATGAATCAGGTGTTAGATAGTATCTGTGTATACCTGGACTCCAGAATATGCCATCAGATGATTAGAGGGTTAGAATTATCAGTCACCAGTCCCTCTGGGGAGAAGAGAGAACTGATATTGAATTCCATCAACAATGGCCAAAAATTCAATCAAATTGACTACTTTAAACCCTCAATTAAATCCCATGTACACTGGATTCAGTGAGCTTTAGAAGGTTGATAACATCAAGGGTTTGTAAAGGGGGGATGTCCTTAGATGGGGTGGATGCTGGACATTTCCTCGTCTCTCTTTGCCTTATGCTTCTTCTCCCAATCACTGTCTCAGTGTTTTAACCTTTATAATAACTGGGGACCATAAGTAAAAGTTCCCCAGTTCTGTGAGTGGTTTTGATAACATGTTCAACCTGGAAATTGGGTCAAAGAATCTCTGAATTGACAGTTAGTTGGTCACACGTGTAAGTGACCCCAGGACTTGTGATCAACACTTGAAGTGTGGGCCATCCTCAGGGATGGAGCCCTCACCCTGTGGTTTCTGGGTAACCTTTGGGGATTTAGTGTCAGATGAGTTGACTCCTGGATGTCCAGTGGGTCTGGAGGAACTGGTTGCTGTTGGCAGACACCCCACATGTTTGGTGTCAGGGACAAAACCCAGACTCACTCTTTTCCTCCATTTGTGTCTGGGGTGAGGCTCAAGGACAGGGGGCTATAATACGTTGAACAGAGCACTCGGAACCCCTCAGTAGTTCTCTGCATTTTCAGAATTCCTGGCAGAATCAGGGACTTGATTAAATGAGTTGTGACAGAATGTGTCTTGTCCTCATCCTAACCACCTGCATGCTGTGTGTCCTGGGATATTCCCATCTGCAGCTCTTTCATGAGAGCTGGAGTACCATGTTTCTAGAGATTTTTGAAAGCATTACCAGTCATGAATACAGAGAATTTACACCTTTGTGGTCAGAGGTGTCCATTTTCCACCAAAGCATTTTAGTGTGAAAGACTTGTCAACCTACCTACGTTTCTTCTTGACATATTAAAAAAAAGTGTCAAATAATGATCATTTCTCTGTGATGAAATTAATCAGAGAGTTGAGTGACAGTTGAGGGTCTTCTCCTCAGCTGCGGGCAGCAAGAAATGCAGTACTTTGTTGAGTTTCCTCACGGGGCCTAGACACCTTTTTCCAGGCTGGTATGATCTTAGTTAAGACTCAATGCCCTTCACCTTGCTATCACCTATCAGACTATATTTTATTTTCCTATGATTCACATGACAGTTACCCTCATAATTATAGAGTTAAGCCTCATCATCATAGAGACTAATAGGAATTTTACTCTATCCACTCTCTTCAGTGACAGTGTCTTGGCATGAGTATGAAGTAGGAGAATCATTTACTTGTGAAATATTTATCAAAATGTATCTTTTTGATTCTGAGAGCATAGTTGTTTGAGTAGGGAAATGGCTGTAAACAAAATATAGTAGAATAATATACACACAGTAAAGGAGGGAAACACAATAATGTTGGGGAAAATCCTATGCCTGTTATGAGGAGTGTTCTGAAGAGAGTGATGTGGATAAAGGAGACTGACAAGCATCAGGGAAATGCTCTGTGATAAGGAGGTTTTGAGCAGAGCCTTCCAAAAAAGTGCCTGAGTAAACAGCACCCAGGACCAGAGTGGTTGAGGGGCAGAGGAGTGGAAGGCATGAGACAGAGGCTCTGGTGACAAGTCATGAAGAGGTTTGTAGAATTGTAAGAATCAGAATTTGACTCTCAGAAAGCTAGGGGTCGCTGAGGGACTGGTCACTGGAGCCATGGAATATGCTTCAAACAGGGTCCTTGTGGCTGTCATGTGAAGAGTGGCCTTTATGGGGTGAAGGGCAGAGACAGAGGCCCCTGGGTGGACTGGTGCATTGTCCAGGTGAGCTGTGATGAAGTGTGTATCCATACTGTTGCATGGATTGATCTCAGTTTATTAGAATAATGTGAATATCTTGCTCTGTTGAGACTTCTGTAGAGGCTTCATCACAAATAAAGATTCATTAACTCTTTAGCCATTTGTGATGTATTCACCCTTCTAACCCTTGCCACTCCTTGAGGTTTGGGGGCAAGGGAAAAGCCGAAGGTGGGAATTAAAACCTATATCTATGGCTGATTCTTGTTGATGTTTGACAGAAACCAGCAAAATTCTGTAAAGCAATTATCATACAGTGAAAAAAAATGTATAAAGTAAAAAACTCAAAAAACTCAACCACCAAATCCCGTGTTAGTTACCCAGGCAACCCACCTCCTTAGGTTGAGGCTTTGCTGGTCACCTTCCTCACATTATAAAAGACACCCTTGATGCTGCCATTTCTTAGGAAATCCAATCATTTTAGGAGCTCAGTTCCAGGAATGGTTAGAAGACCAAACTAATACTTCTTATATAAGTCAGAGGATCAGTATTCCCTCAATATTTCTTTATTCCAGTGCCCATGATGTAAACAAAGTGAACACATTGGGGGTTTTCTTCCATGCCATTCTCCATTAAATCATGATGGCTTCTCACTGTGTTTTTTATAGTGGAAACTTTCAACTATACACATGTACGGATCATAGTATTATAAACTGGTGGACCACTGTCCAGCTCCAGTCATGATGAACATATGGAGAATATTCTTAATGTGTATCTTTTATTCTTATCCTATTTGGAGCTAATCATTGATGACATGCCAATTCATGCATAAATATTCAGTAATGATATGTAATTATTCACAATATTACTCTGTGGATCTGAAGCCTAACAACGTTAATACTAATGTTCTACAGAACAGGATATGAAAAGGCCTTTTCATATTCACACCCCTGCACCCCTACCACTCTCTATTGCAAACAAGCTGGTATTTTCTGTTGTTCACCTTTTAATTCCAACTGTGCTGCCCATTTTTCTATTTTATCAATATCCTCCCATTGCTACAGCCCTGCAGGCTGAGGTCTGCCTGGAGCCTTCACACATGGGTCCCTGCAAAACCAAAATAATCAGACACTTCTACAACTCAAGTACAGGTTCTGGGAGAACATTGTACATGGTAGTTAAAATGTTAAGAACATAGATTACATCAGAGGCTGGCCTGTGTTAAGACCCCTGCTGGTGGTATCCTATCCTGGGTAAGACAGCCTGAAGGGCAGGGGAGAGGGGAAGGGCTGGGGAAAGAAGTGGAGCTCAGGAGGGTACACACTCCTCAAAACCACCCACAGTGACTATTTTCCTGAGAAGTGGCTGCAGTGTTCTTTGAAATCATGGGCTAAGCATGTCCTTCCAGAGCCAGCTGGCAAAAGGTCAGCCCTAGAGGCACCATCCTGATAATCTGAGCTTACCCTCATGCTCCCCTTTCTAGATGGGAAGAGTAAGTCAGCACCCCACAGAGCAGGTCAGTAGTGCTGCTGAGTCCCCCACCTTGGCTTCAAAAATTCACTTCCTTCTGGTGGTCACTGCGATCCTGATAGCACTGTGGTTGCTCATTTATAGGAAGGTCTAGGTCCTGTCCAGGTACACAGTGTCTAGGTCTGGGGCTTCAGAGATTCAGTCAGCAAGTTCCTCTCCTTTTGCAGAGGCCATGGGAACTGCGTTCCCTGAGAAGCTGAAGTCCAAGGAGGATCCAGTCAGGGCTGAGCTCTGGCTGCTTGTGATAGTATTCAGCCTTTCCCTCTTGCTTCTCAACACTACCTTTCTCAGCAGAAATCTGCCTCTTTCCGTTCCCATTCGACTATTTGCTTTACTTATCTCTCATCCAGTTGGCTCTAAGCACCCTGAGAGCAAGTCTTCTATTTATCCTCAGAATATTGCACAGCTCCAGGCACAAAAATACAGTCCATAAATATTGAAGTAAGTATGGAAACAATGTAGGAGAAAAGCTCCTCAAGACTGGAGTGAAAGTAGAGCCTGGGATGTGAATTTCTGATTCTTGCTGTAATCTTCATCACTGCATCCTCACCTTCTTCCTCCACCCCACCAGCACTACAAGAGCCTTGGGAACATGGCCACCTGGATGCTGCCAGAGAGGCTAGAACCACCTCCTATTCTTGTGACTATGATGTGACACTCATGAAGTCATGTCCAAAATCTTTGATGCATCATCTGTGTTAATATCAACTAGATTTGCCTGGGTGGTGTTTGTATGTTTGTATATTAGTGAAATTGAAATATCTGGGAACACTTGAAAAACAGGCAAGTGTCTTCCTCCTGCTTTTCAGCTGTTTGTGTTCCAGAAAGTCACTTTTCTATAGTTGTAGTTTTGTATCTTCATCTGTAAGAAAGGAATAATGATAATTAATTGATAAGATTGTTAAAGAACAGCAAGCTATCTTTTATCACCACTTACTATGAGCCCACCTCACAGGTCCCAATTTTAAATGCCCTCCAGGAGAAGTGTGTAATGTGAATTGAAGTATTTGGAGTTGGAGTTGAGGCAGGCAGACCATAAGAAATGGTGGGGATGATTGAAACTGGAGAGAATACTCCCCTCCTGAGAAGAGAGCCACTCTTCTTAGCTTGGTTCATGGTTTTCTTTTTTCTTTTTTCATTTATTTTTATTAGTTGGAGGCTAATTACTTTACAATACTGTAGTGGGTTTTGTCATACACTGACATGAATCAGCCATGGATTTACATATATTCCCCATCCCGATCCCCCCTCCCACCTCCCTCTCTACCCGATCCCTCTGGGTCTTCCCAGTGCACCAGGCCCGAGCACTTGTCTCATGCATCCAACCTGGGCTGGTGATCTGTTTCACTATAGATAATACACATGTTTCGAGGCTGTTCTCTCGAAACATCCCATGCTCGCCTTCTCCTACAGAGTCCACAAGTCTGTTCTATACATCTGTGTCTCTTTTTCTGTTTTGCATATAGGGTTATCATTACCATCTTTCTAAATTCCATATATATGTGTTAGTATGCTGTAACGTTCTTTATCTTTATGGCTTGCTTCACTTTGTATGATGGGCTCCAGTTTCATCCACCTCATTAGAACTGATTCAAATGAATTCTTTTTAATGGCTAGGTAATATTCCATGGTGTATATGTACCACAGCTTCCTTATCCATTCGTCTGCTGATGGGCATCTAGGAGAAATATAGATCAATGGAACAGAATAGAAAGCCCAGAGATAAATCCACGAACTTATGGACACCTTATCTTCGGCAAAGGAGGCAAGGATATACAATGGAAAAAAGACAACTTCTTTAACAAATGGTGCTAGGAAAACTGGTCAACCACTTGTAAAAGAATGAAACTAGAACACTTTCTAACACAATACACAAAAATATAAACTCCAAATGGATTAAAGATCTAAATGTAAGACCAGAAACTACAAAACTCCTAGAGGAGAACATAGGCAAAACACTCTCTGACATAAATCACAGCAGGATCCTCTATGACCCACCTCCCAGAATATTGGAAATAAAAGCAAAAATAAACAAATGGGACCTAATGAAACTTAAAAGCTTTTGCACAACAAAGGTTCATGGTTTTCAAAGTGTGGTCCCTTGAGCAGCAACCTCATTGCCATGGGAACCTTGTTGATGCAGCTACCCAGGTCCCACCCTATGCTACTGAACCAAAACTCTGGGGCTGAAGATCTCAAATCTGTGTTTGGCCAAGTGGCTAAGGGATTCTGATGCCAATCACATTTGAGACCCATGGTTCTTGTTAAATTGCAGGACTGTAATTGCAGAACAAGTTGGTATACTTGTCCTGCCTTGATTTTTGAATATGAAATCTCCCACTGTGAAATCTTATCAATGCCTAAAACTAAAATGAACTCTGTGAGCTAACAATATAGATATTCTGGCCATATGTGCAACTTCTGGTTATGCTCTCTTTTAATCTTGAAAATAATCTGAAAAAACATACTACAGGTTTCAAAAAATCAGGTGCTTTTTTATCATGTAGCAAGAAAGTTATTACCCATTACTCGGATTTGAACATATTTCTATGATGGCACAGCATCTCAAATATCTAAACTTCTTCTGTCTGCCCCGAGTGCATTCCATCATTTGAAGATGTGGCCTTAGATACCATGGAATCGAAGATTCTCATCATTCTGATGGAGATACTGAGGAACAGAAGCAGAGATATGACCTGGAGTCCCAGAGGGTTGGCATCATTTATCTATATCTACTATATAACGACTGTTTGTTCCTGTCCTGCAATTTCTTTAAAGAGGTCTGCAGGGGCCAGGGAGGTTTCCAATTAGAGACTGCAGTTCCATGAGCAGGGAGGGAGGAGTTGGTGGGGAGGAATGGCCCATCAGAAGGCTGTAGAACCAGGGGCCTCTAATTTGGATCTGGTCCTCCTGGTAAGGAGGAGAGGAGGACACTGGGAGAGAAAGATGAGTGAAGAGAGGGCAGAAAAGAGCAGTTTCTGTTAGGGAGAGTCTCAGCTACTCCATGGTATCAGATGCAGAGGTTGGGGCAGGAAGAGGGGCAGGGACAGAGCGCCTCCTGAACGTGAATCGTTGTTTTGCCATCTGCAGGTTGTGTGTCCTGAGCAAGTGGCATTATCTCTCTGAGACTCTGCTTTCTGCTTGACACTGTGGTATGAGAATCCTGGATGTTGTAGGATTGACATGAGGCTAAATGAAATCATACATGTGGAATGATTCAGGAGAGAGGGACCCTCCACTCACAGTGGCTTCTTTTGTGAGTCACCCACTCCCGATGCCCTTCTGTCCTAAGAGAGCTTGGTACTGTGAGCTCAAGCCCTGTTCAACGGTGCTATGTGGTTGTAGCTACAAGCAAATAAACAAGAGTGGGTGAAGGCGTGGTGGGTGTGACATGTGTGCACTGTAATTTCCAGCTTGCAGTTCAACAGAGCGCAAGTGCACAGACTCTAAGTCAGATTGCTGGGTCCAAATCCTCTCCCTCCAAGCTATGACCTAAGCAAATTATTTCTTATTATTTCAGGGACCTCTTGTGTTACATGGGGATATATCAACGGTTTCTCCCCCTTTCTTTCAAGATTTTTTAGAATTAGATGAATTACATGTTTCATGTGTCCAGGATAATGCCTGCAACAATGAAGAATTTAAATGTTACCTGGAGTAATTACTCATCACTGTTATTAATGCTACTACAAAGAATTTGACTTCTAGGGAGAAGGAATACATGCCTGTTGTATCCATTGCTTTTGTGGCAACCACATGATGTGGGCAGCACGGATCTCAGGAGGCACCCGAGGACATGCGGGTTGAGGGTTTTAAATTCTCTGGCCCACAGTTAGGAAAATGCACAGCTGGTACCCAAACCAAGGAATTACGCTCCATCGCCAGTGAGAGCGGGAAGAAGGGGGTGGCTATGGCAGTCTTCCGAGGTCCCCTGATGTCCACTCATGGAGAAAGCTCTCCTGTTACTGAAACCAGATGAGGGATGACTGTGGGCCGTGCTGTGGATACAGGTTCAGCTCCCTGCTTCCCCTCGGCCCCTCCCCTCACTCCCTTTTTGATGCCTAAAGAGGGTTAGAGCCCAGGGCGACATCACCTTCTCCAGCTAAGTCCCTGCCTGGACCAATGCCTGGTAAAGTGCAAGTGTCCATCCATGGGAGAAGCTGTGGCGATGGTTGCAGGAAGGTGATCTGTGTCACACGTGTCATCTGAGGTACGTGATGTGGGCCAGGACATTGAGGTCCAGCTGAGATGTCATCTGCAGGAGGCTGAAATGGAGGACCTTGGCTAACACACTGCTATTTACTTATGTGTCCTCTGGTCTACTCACATCCACTTACTATAATCCATCATGTGCCAGGCACTGCTCTAGGTGCAGGGATACTCCCTGAGTGTCAATATTGGACAAACTCCATCTGTCTGAAAACAATCTGTGTTTACATGAGACCCACAGGCATCATCAAGTTTGAGAAGTGCTCTTACTGGGCATTTGACCCCTGAAAACAGAAGCAGGAGGCATGGTTAGGAAGGGAGATACACAATAAACAGGACTGACCCAGCTCCTCCCCTTGCCCACTCCCCTCCTCATCACCTGATCCCACCCCGCAGCCAGGATATTAAAGCTCAGTCCATCCCCAGCATCCTCAGGAGCCCTCCTGCAAGGCCATGAAGATGAGCGGGCTCTGCCTCTCCGCAGCCCTTCTCTTCCTCCTGGTTATCCTGGTGGGCAGCACCCCGGTGTATACACACCACACCCAGGACCAAGATAGGCCCAGCCTCATCCCTCCTCTACAACTTCTGGGAAAATGGTAGAAGCGCAAGGAGGGGAGAGTTGCAGGTGTGAAGTGGATGTTGCCAGCTCTCTCTGGATTTCTCCTGTCACGCCGCACAGGTTTTTTGTTTGTTTCTTTGGTTTTGGCAGTATTGGGCTTCCTCCCTGTGCAAGAGTATTCTCTAGTTCTGTGGTCGTCTCTCTGGTTGCAGTGTGTGGAATCTTTTTGGGGTGGCTTCTGTTCTGCAGAGCAGGAACTCTAGGCATCTGGGTTGTGGTTGCAGTTCACCTTCTTAGTTGCCGCAAGGCATGAGGAATCTTCCCAACCAGGGAGAGAACCCATGTCCCCTGCATTAGTTGTGGATTCTTTTCTATTGGGCTACCAGGGAAGTCTTAAGTGGCAAAATTTAACTCCACTGACATCATGACTCTCATGAGGATATTTATTAAAATTATATATCTATAGATATATATCTCATAACTGTACCTGATCTGGGACCCCATTTCTGAGACTCTCTATTCTTGTTCCCTCCCATTTCCCTGAAACTCACTGTAGTGTAGTAATAAAAGTAAGTACAGTGAAAGTCTCTAAGTCCTGTCCAACTCTTTGGAACCCCATGAACTGTATAGTCCATGGAATTCTCCAGGTAAGAATATTGGAGTGGTAGCCTTTCCCTTCTCCAGGGGATCTTCCCAACCTAAGGATCGAACCCAGGTCTCCCACATTGCAGGTGGATTCTTTACCAGCTGAGCCACAAGGAAAGCCCTGTGTAGTAATAAAAAGCTTCAAATATGAAATGTCTCTTAGTTAATGGCCCAGGTCTCTTAAAACACTTGGGAGTTTCCTGCCTTTAGATGTTAATAGATGAGTCACAAAAGGTGACTCAAGGTAACCTCAAGGTGTGGTTGGAGTCCCAGAAATCACAAGCACCCATTTAATGTTTACAGGTTTCAACAACTGTCATTCCAGCACCTCTGAGGAGAAGGGAGGGAACTGAGAGTGAGATCAGTCACCAGTGGCTGATAATCCAACTGATATGCCTATTTAGTGAAACTTAGAAAGAAAGACATAAAAACTGGGCTCAGAGAGCTTGTTGGTTGGTGAATACAGGAAGCTGATGTGAGGGTGCTGGGCCCACTAGGGCACAAAGGCTGGGCACACCTCCCTCCCCGTTTGCCCTGCACATCTCTTCCGTTTTTCTGCCTCAAGTTATATTTTGCATATTAATCTGGTATTAGTAACATTGGTTTTCTGAAGATCAGCCACTGTTTCTAGTGAATTGTTGAATTTGAAGATGGGGTCATGGACCCCAAAATAGGGTAAGTCCCCCATTTTAGCTATTTGGTCACAAGCATGATTGACTCAGGACCTCATGGCTGGCATGTGAACTGAGGACAATCTTAAGCCCTCAACCTGCAGAATCTACAGTAGCTCCATCAATTCCCATCTGAAATAAAAGGACTTGTTGGACACCCAGTGGGTGTTTGGGAAATCAGTTGCTCTTGATCAAGACACCACATATTTGGTGTGAGGGATAAACCCAGAATCACTCTCCCCTGTGGTTTGGGGCTCAGGTGATGCTCCAAAAAGGGGGAATAATGAAAGTATACATTGCAACCAGAAACTGTTCTCAGTTGTCTGTATTTTAGAGTTCCTAGGAGAATCGGGGAGTGTATCAAATGGGTTGCATGATGCTAGTATCTTCTACTGACCCTGCCACCCACCTGCCATGTCCTGGGGCAAGTCATCTGCAATTTTCTTGTCAGAACAGGGGATACATGTTACATGGGTTTTTGAACAGATTGCCAGTCATATGCATAAGGAGGTGAGTCACATTTCAAGTTGAATTTTGTACATTTTCCACCAAGATGTGTTAATCTAAAAAAATTTCTTTAACTACTTACTTTTGCAAGAAAGAATATTTATGTGTCAAATAATGAGCATTCCTTTATCATGAAAAATAATCAGAAAGACCTGGGATGATTGTGCTGCAGGGAAAGGAAAAAACACAGTCCCATGTAGGGTGACTCCTGGGACCAAAGTTGAGACAATATTAGGAAAGTCTCCAGGCCCTTTCCCGTGTCCCCTTTTGACTATTATTTATTATCCATATTTATACCCTCCCTTGTCCACTGCTGACTACCATTTTACTTGCATATTTGATCCTTAGCTTGGTTCATGTCCCAGGCTTCCTGAAACTGTTGGAATTTACTGTCTTTCATAGGTGTGGAGACAAGCCATAGAAGGGGACCTGAGAAGCGTTCAGTAATAGATGTGGTTAAAAATATCATCGACGGTGTTATTACAGGTTTGAATTTTCTGCACCTGTGGGGAGAGGAGAGGGCACTGAGATTGAGAACAGGCACCACTGGCCAATGATTCCATCAAAACGCCTGTTTAGTGAAACCTCAAGAAGAATCCACAAATGTGGGCATTCAGAGAGCTTCTGGGCTGTTAAAACAGGGAGGGTGGGGATGCGAGGGCCTTGTGTTCTCTGGGACACAGAGGCTCCCCCACCTCCATTTCCACTTTCCCCTGCACATCTCCCTCCCTTCGCTGTGCCAAGATTTATCCTTTATAATAATGTGAGATCCCTCTGTGAGTGGTCTTCCTGAGTTTGGTCATCAGATTTATTGAATGGAGTAATGGAACTTCCCAGTCTTAGATATTTTGTCAGATCAGGAGTGACTCAGGCCAACATCGCTGGCATCTGAGCTGAGGACAATTCTGCACCCTCCACTTGCACAATCTATACTAACTCCCTGGATTCCCTGTCAGAATTAAACCACCCTGTGGGACATCCATTGGGTGTTTGGAGGAATTGGATATTGTTGCTAGAGACACCACATATTTGGTGTCGGGAAAACCCGACTCATTCTCCCTGTGCTTTGGGACTCAGATGAGTCACGGCACAGGGGAGTAATGAAAGTGGGACTCTGCACCCGGGAACTCTTACCAGTTATCAGTATTTTCAGAGTTCCTGGTAGAATAGGATAGTATATCAAGTGAGTTATGACAAGGAAGTATCTTGTTTGGACCCTGTTACCCTCATGCCATTAGTTCTCTGGCAAGTGATCTATAGTCCTCATCTGAACAGCAGATAAGTGGTACATGAGTTCTTTGAACATACTATCAGTCAATTATAAATAGCTTATTCACATTTCATGGCCAAGTATGATCATTTTCCACCATGATATGTTCCTGAAAGATTTCTCTACCTATTTGCTTGGGGCCAGAAAGAACATTTATTGGTCAAATAATGATTATCCTTCTATTTAAAAATTAATCACACAGACCTGGACCACTGAGAAGTGGAATTGCCAGGAAAGCATGAAACCCAGTCCTTATGTGGTTGGCTTGTGGGACCAAGGCTGGTACAATATTAGCAAATTTTCCATGCTTTTCCCTTTGTCCACTTTTGACTATTGCTTTATTATTCATATTTGAAATTTGTCCTGGTTCATTGTTCAACATTCCTGAAAATTTTGAAATCTTTGTCTTTTATAGGTACTAAGATTGTCAGAAAGGAATCCAGTATAACACCGGATTGGCTGAAACTGTACATAAAGACCTGAAAGGTTTGAACAGTCTGTACCTGTGGGGAAAGAGGAGGCCACTGAGACTGAGATCAGTTACCACTGGATGATGAGTCAATATGTATGTTTATTGAGTGAAACCTCAATAAAAATCCATAAATATTGGCTCAGAGAGCTTTTGAGGTGGGAAAAAAAATGGCGGTGAGGTGAGGGTGCTGGGCTCACCAGAGCATGGAGACTTTGCTCCATCTATTCCTCTTTTAAATGTCTCCTTCATTTAGCTATTTCTCATTTTATCCTGTACATTAATGTGAGGAAAGTGAGTAAGAATTTTCCTGAGTTTGGTTGCTGGTTCAATTGAGTTTGAGCATTGAGTTGGGGTCATGGGAAGTTCGACTTTCAGTCACTTGCTCAGAAGCATGGTAACTGGAGACCACATGGCTGACATCTGAAGTCGGGACAGTCTATTGATACCTCAACCTGCAGTTTCGGCACTAACTCTACAGATATGGTATCAGAAATCAAATGACAGTTGGGTTCTGGGGATTGGATGGTGTTGTGGAGAAAACATGTATTTGAGGTCAGGTAAAAATCCAACTCACCCTCTGATGTGAGGGCTCAGGTGTGGCTTGGGGAGAGGTGAGTATTAAAAGCAGAACACTGTACCCAGAAAGTCTTACCAGTTATCTGTTTTTTGGAGTTCCTGTCAGAATCAATAATGTATCAAATGAGTTATGACATGACAGTATCTTATCCTGACCAGGCCACCCACATGCTTATAACCTGGGGCAAGTCATTTGATGTTTCCTCATCTGAACAGGGGAAACATGCTACATGAGCTCTTCAAGTAGATGATGAGTTATGACTAGGAAGAGTTTGTTCACATGTCATGACCAGATTTGTCCATTTTGCACCACAATGTGTTAATCTGAAGAAAAATTCTCTACCTAGTTGCTGTGGCCAAGTAAAACTATTTCCTTATCAAATAATATTTATTCCTGTATTATTAAAAGTAATGAAAAGATGTCAAGCCATGGAGGAGGGCAATGGCAGGGAAAGCAAGAAACAGCCCTTGTATGGTAGGCTGTCAGATCAAGGCTGATACAGTATTACGAAGTCTCCAGACTCTTTCCCTCGTTGTCTTTTGGCTGCTATTTTCTTATTCATGTTTGATCCTTTTCCTGTTTCATGAAGCAGGCCTCCTGAAACTCTTGAAGTTTACTCTCTCTTATAGGTCAGGTGATGATTTCCAGAGCACAACTCGATAACCATACAAGAGAAATTCCCAACGCTCATTTCTCAATACTCAACACTCAATGAGGACAATAAAGGTATATAGTTTCTGCACCTCAGGGAAGAGGGAAGGGCACTGAGATCTAAATCAATCACCAATGACCAATGATTCAATCAATAAGGCTATTTCTTGAAACCTCAACAGTACAGAAATATTTGGGTTCAGAGAGTTTTCTGTGTGGTGAATGATTGTGAGGGTGCTGTGCTCACTAGGGAATGGAGGCTCCACACACCTCCATTCCCCGTTTGCCCTACACATCTCCTCCATTTCACTGTTTGTCAACTTTTTTATGCATATTTATCAGTGGAAATGAGAACAGTAAGTACTTTGCTTTCCTCAGTTTGGTCATCAGTAACCTTCAGTTATTGAACATGGAGGTAAAGTCATGGACCTCCCCATTTTAGCCATTTGGTCACAAGCCAAAGTAAGTGAGGACCACGTGGCTGGCACTAAAGTGAAGAGAGTTTTGAGCGCTCAACCTGTGGGATCTGTGCTAACTGCATGGATTTCATATCAGATGTCAATTGACTGGGGACGCCCAGTGGGTGTCTGGGGAATTGATTGATGTTGGTAGAGACACCACGTATTTGTGTTAGGATAATCCCAGGCTCACTCTGTCCTGTGACTTGGGGGTTTAGGTTACCTTGGGTACAAGGTAGTAATGAAAGTAGGAAAAAAGCTACAGAAACACTTGCAAGTAAACTGTATTTTCTCAATTCCTGGTGGAATCAGGTATTGTATCAGATGCGTTGTGACATCACAGCAACTTGTCCTGACTCTCTGTGCTCTGTCCATGTGCCCTGTTTCCTGGGGAAAGTTATCTGCAGTTTCCTCATCTGAAGAGGGGAAAAATGTTCCATGCATTCTTTGAACAGAGTACCAGTCATGAATATAAAGAATTTATGCCCTGCTGCCTTAGTGTCTACACCATTTGGGAGTTCATCTCCCTGACTGAACCTGTGACTACTTCAACAGAAGGTGATTCTTAACCAATGGATGGCCTCAGAAGTCTTACAGAAGTTTTAAGGCTATTCAAAGGCATTATACCAATCTTTCTTTAAAAACTTCATGAGGAAATACATATTTGCACACGATTACTATATCATGTCACCCCTAGCAACATCCATAATTCTGTCCCAGAAAGGAGGTTTTCAAATGGTCTTTCCAAGTTGACCATCCTCCACAATCCTAACATTCTCTATTGCAAACTGGCAGTTCTCATTGCTGTCCTTGTATGGAGCTGTGATGACCATCCTCATAACTGAGGCATTGCCCCTCTCCTTCTAGCAGCTTCTAAGCCTACCTTCTGCCTGGAGCCTAAATTAACAGGTGGCTGCAATGCCATGATGACCAGGAGGTATGTCTACAACACTCAACCAGACTCTGCGAGCAGTTTATGTATGGTGGCTGCAAAGGTAATGAAAACAACTTTGAAAAGTTAGAGGACTGCGTAAAGACCTGCTCTCAAGAAGCAAGGTCCTCGTGGTAAGACAGGGACCAGGGCACCGTAGGAGGGGAAGGGCTGGGGAAAGAGGTGGAGCTCAGGGGGCCACACACCGTTCACCCTGCACAGTGTCCTCCCCCTCGCTGCTGCCAGGAGGAGAGGCTGCATTGTCCTGTGAAACCCACACTGAGTGAGGTCTCCAGGGAGAGAATGGCAGAAGGTCAACCCCTGATGCCTCTTTGTGATCATCTGAGCCTGATCACATGCTCTTCTTTCTCAGATGGAACACTGATCAGCCACCCTCCAGGGTGAAAATGAAAGTGAAGTCCCTCAGTCGTGTCCGACTCTTTGCAACCCTATGAACTGTAGCCTACCAGGCTTCTCTGTCCATGGGGTTTTCCAGGCAAGAGTCTGGAGTGGGCTGCCTTTTCCTTCTCCAGGGGATCTTCCCGACCCAGGGATCAAACCCAGGTCTCCCGCATTGCAGGCAGACGCTTTACCCTCTGAGCCACTAGGGAAGCCTCCAGGGTAGGTCAGCAAGACTCCTGAGAACCACACCTAGGCTTGGAAAACTCACTTCTTTCTTGTTGTGGCCGTTTGAGTCATAGGGACAACAGTTTCATAGTTTTTTGAAAACATAGGTTCTGTCAAGATGACAGGTGTCCTGGTCTGGGGCTGCAATGATGGCACTCAACAAGTTCCTTTCTTTTTGCAGAGGACATGTGAAGAGTGGTTTCCAGAAACTCTGAAGTCTGAGGAGGACTCTTTCAGGTCTGGACTGTGGCTGCATCTGAACCTCTTCAGTCTCCTCAAAGTCCTCTCTGCTACCGTCCTCAGCAGAGCCTGCCTGTTTCCTTTCCCCTTTTGGTCAACATGTCTCATTCTGTCTCATCTAGTTGACTCTCAGCACCACGAGAGCTTGTCTGCCCTTTACCCCTACCACTTCACACAGCTCCTGGAAACAATGAGACAGTTCATAATTATTTGAGGATGGAAGGAAGGAATGTATGAGCACATTCCTCATGATCAGATTAACTGCAAGGTTGCAGTGTTAACACAGGGGTTTTGTTTTACCCCCATCCTCACAGCATCCTCAGCTTTATCACCTTTCCCAGCACCTCTACTCTCCTTGTGGGTGCCCATGGTGGAATTTCCAGCAACTAGTTCTCAGCATCAGTAATGGGAGAATAGTTTGTTTTAAGAAAGCTCCTTAACTGCACAATGATGTTGCAGTATTTTTTTCTGTAGCTTCAAATGCTATAGGTTATATTTCAATAAATATATATTCAAAATTAAACTGACTGGAGTGGAGTCTGTTGTTTGTAATTACAAACCTTAACCGATAGAGTCCATGGAATTGGTGGTCCTTCTCTGTTCTTTAGACAGTGGGTACCTCCCCTTTCCCTTTCCACAGACTGTGCCCTATCAGGCATAGGAAGCAAACCCATTATATCATCAATGACTTCTTAATAGAACACAAATTACACAGAATCCTGGGAGGTACACATGTCGAGATGACAATTTTTCTTCCTTCCTCTTAATTTCATTCAAACAGAGGGGCAGGTTGCCTCCCAAATCTCAGAAGGAGAATGGGTAGGAGACTCAATTGTCTACCTTTATCAGAAACATGATTCCCTGAAGTCACATACAGGGAGGGAGCTTCTTACTTCAGTTAAAAAAGTACCGCTGCCATTTGGTATCCCTGGCTCTGTGTTAGCATTTTGCCTACATGTTTCTATTGATCATGCTAAGAATCATTGAGGGGAAGAAATAGAATCATAGAGATGGCACTTAGCTGCTTTATTCATTGCCTAACACTGCAGGTCCTTGCTCTCCCAAGCCGAGGGACTTTGATGATGCTTTCCTGCTAACGCATCTGAGAAGATTTAGGATGCAGGAAACTTTGAAATGGACAGTATCTGTTCAACCACAGATTAGTAAAGTTTGGCATGGAGACCACAACAAGTAGTAGTATTTGAATAAATGAGAACGGACAGGGTGTTTGTGCTGTTTTTCATATTTTGCTAATCTTGGGCAAATTCTCAACATCTCTGAGCTTTGCTTTCTTTAGTATAAAATAAAGACAAGGCTTGTAATTGTTAATATTTCCAGCCAGAGCCCACTGAAATACTCCACTTTGCCTCCTTGCTTTTCTTTTCCTTTGGAATAGTTTTGTTTGCTGGTCCCTGTACAATATTATTGGCCTCCATCCATAGGTCTTCAGGCGCACTGTTTACAAGTCCTAATCCCTTAAGTCTGTTTGCTCTCTTTATTGCATATTTATAGTGCATTTGATTTAAGTCATATCTCATTTGCCTAGTAGTTTCCATGCTTTTTTAGTTTAAGCCTTATATTTGCTATGAGAACCTGATGATCTGAGCCAGAGTAGCTCCTGGTATTGTTTTTGCTTACTGCACACAGCTTCTCTATCTCTGGCTACAAAGAATTCAACCAAAATAATTTTGGTATTGGCCATTTGGTGAGGTCCATGTGTGAAGTTGTATTGTGGATAAAGGGTATTTTCTATGACCAGGGCATTCTTGGCAGAATTCGGTGTATCGTTGCCTTGCTTTGTATTGTTCTCCAATGCCAAACTTGCCTGTTACTCCAGGTATCTCTTGATTTCTTACTTTTGCATTCCAATCCTCAATGATGAATAGAACACACTTTTGTGTGTGTGTTAGTTATAGGGGGTCTTCTAGGTTTTCTTTTTTTGGATATACTGGCTTTTTATTTTTATTTTTTAAATTTTGTTTATTGTCTAGGTTTTCAAAGAAATGATCAACACCAGCTTCTTCAGCATCGGTAATAGGGGAATAAGCTTGAATTACTGTGATGTTGACTGGCATGCCTTGGAGATGAGCTGAGTATAAGGTGTCATTTTTGAGGTTGCACCCAAATACTGCAATTTAGATGGTTTTGTTGATTATGAAGGTTACTCCATTTTTTCTATAGGTTCCTTACCTACCGTAGTAGATAAAATGGTCATCTGAATTAAATTCGCCATTCCTGCCCATTTCAGTTCACTGATTCCTAAGATGTTGATGTCTATTGTTACCAATCCTGCTTGACCACGTCCAGTTTACCTCGAATCATGGACTTAACATCCTAGGTTCCTATGCAGTACTGTCCTTAGGAAACATCTTATTTAACTTTCATCACCAGACACATCCACAACTAACCATCATTTTGGATTCGGTCCAGCCTCTTTATTCTTCTGAGTCTATTGGTAGTTCTCCTCTGCTCTTCCCTAGTAGCATATTGGACAGCTTCTGACCTGGGGGACTCATCTTTCAGGGTCATATCTTTTTGTCCTTTAATACAGTTCATGAGGTCCTCATAGAAAATATACTGGGGTGGTATGCCATTTCCTTCTCTAGTGGATCACATTTTGTCAGAACTCTCCACTATGACCCGTCCATCTTGGGTGGCCCTACATGGCATGGCTCATAGATTCATTGAGTTACACAAGCCCCATTGCCACAAAAAGGCAGTGATCTATGAAGAAGAGTCATACTATAAATATATGTTATTATATTTTTAATCATCATTAGTTGATAACAGTGTAGTGAAATGACTTGATATTAATAAAAAGAGTTTGGCTTCAGTAACTCACTGTGTTTTGTGGCCTTGGGGAAGTAATTTTATCTCCTTGAGACACAGTTTCTTTTTTAGTAAGAAGAGGAAGGTAATATCTACATTAAGAAATGCCCTGAGAACTATGATGATTTCAATGCTAAAGTGCTTTGAACACCACAGACTAAGGCAAATTGTCTAGAAGCTTAGAGTTTTATTTTCCTCTGTTCCTAACTATTCTTAAATGAGCAGTCAACTGGAGTAAAGAAAGGAAGAAATAACATTGACTTTATTAGTGTCGTCTTCTAGAATCTCACCCTCGGGAAACTGCCCCAGTGCCAGAGTGGAGTCACCGTCCAATTCCTAATAGGTCTCCTTCCTCAGAGGTAGCCAAAAGCCCTCTTGCTTCAGTGATTGATCTCACCTTGGACTGGCCATTTCCCTACTCCTCCTTGTGTTTATTTGACTCTCTCGACAACATAGTTAAGTGTTCAGCTCAGTTCAGTTGCTCAGTCATCTCTTACTTTTTGTGACCCCATGGACTGCAGCATACCTGGCCTCCCTGTCCATCCCAACTCCCAGAGCTTATTCAAACTCATGTACATTGAGTCGGTGATGCCATCCAACCATCTCATCCTCTGTCAACCCATTCTCCTCCACCTTCAATTTTTCCTAGCATCAGGGTCTAATCTAAGGAATCAGTTCTTCACATCAGGTATCCAAAGTATTGGAGTTTCAGTTTCAGCATCAGTCCTTCCAATGAATATTCAGGACTGATTTCCTATACGATGACTGGTTGGATCTCCTTGCAGCCCAAGGGACTCTCAAGATTCTTCTATGACACCACAGTTCAAAGCATCAAAATTTGGTGCCGTACTTCTTTACAGTCCAACTCTCACATCCATACATGACTACTGGAAAAACCATAGCTTTCACTAGATGGACCTTTGTTGGTAAAGCAATGTCTGTGCTTTTTATTATGCTATCTAATTTTGTCATAACTTTTCTTCCAAGGAGCAAGAGCCTTTTAACTTCACAATTGCAGTCACCACCTGCAGTGATTTTGGAGCCCTCCCAAATAAAGTCTCTCACCATTTCCATTGCTTCCCCATCTATTTTCCATGAAGTGATGGGACTGGTGCCATGATCTTAGCTTGCTGAATGTTGAGTTTTAAGCCAACTTTTTCACTTTCCTCTTTCACTTTCATCCAGAGATCCTTTAGACTTCTTTGCTTTCTGCCGTAAGGGTGGTGTCATCTGCATATCTGAGGTTACTGGTATTTCTTCCAGCAATCTTGATTCCAGGTTGTGTTTCATAGAGCCTGGCATTTTTGCATGATGCGTTTTGCATATAAGTTAGATAAGCAGGGTGACAATGTACAGCCTTATGTATTCCTTTCCTGATTTGGAACCAGTCTGTTGTTCCACATCCAGTTCTAACTGTTGCTTCTTGACCTGCATACAGATTTCTCAGGAGGCAAGTAAGTTGTTCTGGTACTCCCATCGCTTGAAGAATTTTCCATAGTTTGTTGTGATCCACACAGTCAAAGGCTTTGGCATAGTCAGTAAAGAAGAAGTAGATGTTTTTCTGGAACTCTCTTGCTTTTTTCATAATCCAATGGATGTTGGCCATTTGATCTCTGATTCCTCTGCCTTTTCTAAATCCAACTTGAAAATCTGCAAGTTCACAGTTCACGTACTGTTGAAGCCTGGCTTGCAGAATTTTGAGCGTTACTTTGCTAGCGTGTGAGATGAGTGCAATTATGTGGTAGTTTGAACATTCTTTGGCATTGCCTTTCTTTGGGATTAGGAATGAAAACTGACCTTTTCCAGTCCTGTGGCCACTGCTGAGTTTTCCAAATTTTTGGCATATTGAGTGCAGCACTTTCACAGCATCATCTTTTAGGGTATGAAATAGCTCAACTGGAGTTCCATCCTGTCTAATAGCTTTGTTTGTAGTGATGCTTCCTAAAGCCCACTTGACTTAGCATTCCAGGATGTCTGCTCTAGGTGAGTGATCACAGCATTGTGGTTATCTGTGCCATGAAGATCTTTTTTGTACAGTTCTTCTGTATATTCTTGACACCTTTTCTTAATATCTTCCATTTCTTTCCTTTACTGTGCCCATCTTTGCATGAAAGATTCCCTTGGTATCTCTAATTTTCTTGAAGAGATCTCTAGTCTTTCACATTCTATTGTTTCCCTCTATTTCTTTGCATTGATCACTGAGGAAGGCTTTCTTATCTCTCCTTGTTATTCTTTGGAACTTTGCATTGAAATGGGTATATCCCTCCTTTTTTCCTTTGCCTCTCACTTCTCTTCTTTTCTAAGCTATTTGTAAGGCCTCCTCAGACAACCGTTTTGACGTTTTGCACTTCTTTTTCTTAGGGATGGTCTGGATCACTGCCTCCTGTTCAGTAGTTCTTCAGGCACTCTGTCTACCAGATCTAATCCCTTGAATCTATTTGTCACTTCCACTGTATGATCATAAGGACTTTGATTTAGATCATACCTGAATGGTCTAGTGCTTTTCCCTACTTTCTCCAATTTAAGTCTCAATTTGGTGATAAGGAGTCCATGATCTGAGTAACACTCAGCTCCCAGTCTTGTTTTTGCTCA